ATATATATATATATATATATATATATATATATATATATATTTGAAAATTTTAAATTAAAATCACAAAAATCATCGTCACACAAATGCTCTTCTGGTTGTGGGTTTGGGCGTTTCCTCAATATTTTGTTTTCAAGTTTCGCGGTTGTTGCCCCAAATCCTCCTCTCTCTCTCTTCCTCTCTATCCCCCTTTACTGAAATTCTTCGTTGAAACCATCATATTCATTGATCGATTATCCTTCTCGCAGACATCAAATGCTCTGACTAGATTGGAGCTTCAGAATCGGTAATCAAAACTCAGCTATTATACTGATCTGTATCTTTCTTTTGTTTTCATTCCGATTTAGGTTTTCGTAGTTTGAATTTCCTATGCGTCTCTTTGCTTCTGCTGCTGCTGCCAACTAGTTAAAATAAAACCTCTTGAATTCTGTGCTTTGGCGAATTGAATCGCAATCATAGTTCAATTTTTTGCTGTAATTCGTTACAGGATAGTCGGAAACCGATTTAACACGTTGTTTATGAAATCGCCTTTCATCATCAACGGATTGTTTTTGATCTTTTAGTTTCATTCACAATTATATGTAGTATGTGGTTTTACTGTTGGCTCAACGAGGATGAGCTGATCTTTGCTCATGGCGACGTAATTTGCATATGCAATCTTACTAAATTTATTATTCTCAGGAGCTGTTCAGCTTGATGCTTAATTCATCAATGTTGTTTGGAATTATGAATTGTTTTACTGATTTTAATCTTTTTGTTTATTTAATATTTTAATTTCTGAAAGGATCTACATTATGGGCTCTGGTGCAAACCAAGCACCCAAGTTATCATACTTGTAGCGTTTGTCAAAACTCTAAAGTTTATCAAGTTCCAGATGTTTTGGAATCCATAGCACCTTCCTGAGTTGAAATGTAAAATGATATTTCAAATTCAAATTCTAGCTCTCTTTTACTTGAACATTCCAGGATGAGGTTAGGTTACTCGATACAAAATTAGTCTTCAAACTGGCAACTTAATATATGTCATTTGTGCTGCAACTTGGGAAGTATTTTTAAGTAGTATGTCTTGGCGGCTTAAACCATTTGTGATACTTATTTTGGGATAGCTGGAGTAGATACATTTGTGATCATTGGTAAGCTTACCATGAATATTTTGTTTTCATACCAAAACAGACATAAATTTCTTTGCGTAAGCTTTGAAAAACATGTCATTCTTGCAAGGTCATTTATTTAGCTAGACACTTGCTTACATGAAGTCAATGAATAAAGTAGTAACTTGGATAGATGAAGTGTTTGCTATCTATTAATTTGTTCATTTTGGAGACTTGCTATCTAGTTGTACATGGTATGTAGACACTAGACAATAGATATTAATTTCACTGATTCTCTATTTCTTTTTTCAGTGGCAAAGGGAGATCTGATGGGCCCAGCAAAAAAGTCTAGAAGTGTGAACAAACGATTTTCATATGGTAATGAGATACCACCAACTAAAGATGGAGATAACACCTACAAGAAAAACCAGCGGGTGAGTTTAGTTCTTCTTTAATCCTTTCTCTAAATCTAATTTAATCTTATTGGTTCTAAACTTCTAATATAAATTTAGTTTAATCTCATATAATGACCTACTGTCTATGAAGGTTCCCTGTTCACTCAACAGTTGTAACTTATAACTCTTTCTAAAATGACTTATTGCTGACAACTTTATCAAAAGGTTCCTTACTTCAAGTTTCAACATTAGAAATGATTGTTTGTTTTAAATGCAGTGGCTATATTTTATTTCACATGGTGTTACCAGGTTCTCTATGGACTATTGAATGGTCATTACAATGGACTGAGGTGTTTGGTTGCCACATAGGAGTGGAATGGATCATTCCTTTAGGAATGTGATTACTTCCTATGGGTTGATTTTCATTTTATAATCTTTAAAAACACCATTGTTTTTTAAAATATCTCAAAACTACTTTTCTTATTAAAAAAAGCTAAAATTATTTCTATTATAACTTCATTTGACTTTTCATGTCAATTTACTTTTTTTTAGATTCCTTTTTCTCAGTAGATGTTATTTTTTGATATATTTCTATTAAATTTTGTTTTATAAAGGTAAACACATAGCCGATAGAAAAGTTATAATGAATACATTAATGTATCTTTCCCTCATTAAGTTAAGATTGGCAATAGTTCGGGAGAGAAATAACATAATAGATTATCTTATGTGCAAATACATTCTGTTATTGTTGTAATGATTGTTAAAAATCAAATTAAGAAAAGAAATTCAAAATGATAACTGAACTTTTGTTTGATTGTTTGTTAGATATAACATGTATTTCAAATGGGCATGAGATATATTTATATGTAACTTGTTTAGTGGTATAACTTAATTTGATTAAAATTTATTTTTATGAAATGATAGTTTTGTCGTTATTTATCAGTCTAATTACATTCGGGTGTCTATTACTCGTTCAATTACTTTATTACATTCGTATGTGCTTTCATTCTCTCATACCAAACACATCATTAGTCTCTAACTTCCCAGAAGCATTCATTTAATTTTACTCTTATAAAAAGTTCAATAACCCTTCAACTCCTTTCTATTAAATTTACTATGATTGTTAGTTTCATATTACTAACTCACCATGTGACAAGTACCATTGTTTGTAAGTTGTAACCTCATTGTATCACACTTAAAATTTGAAATATAGCATATAACAAAAACTTTTCGGATTAATGTCAGTGATATCAAGATTATGCGAAAGTTTATCCCAATAACATAATATTCTAGTTACGAACAATAATTACATACAATAAATTGGTGTTACTAACAAACTCCCGGAGCGTGACATAATTGAATTTGCTATATCTATCTACTTCCTTAAAATAGATACACAATATCTATCCTCCTTGTAAGCTTATCTTCCCGCTCCATTTCTTCATAAGACTATTCATGGTACTTCCCAATAGTACTTATTTACCTAAAATACACTGCATACACATCCATTTAAGAAACAAGTGTGAGAATAAGGATTATACAAAGAATAACATTGTATAAACTATAAACATTCGATGCACATAAATAAACTGTTTTGTGACACATAGATAATCATGCAAGCCATTGGGTTCCTTATGTATTAGGAGGCATATTGGTAGAATAATGTGTACACTTTGCTAGATGATTATATGCCATGTTTTGGTGATTTCCATAGGCGTTGGGAAATCCTTCTAGTGGTGGTGAAAACGGGCCTTCAAACCCTAGAAATATCCTTTTGTATAAAACCCTGACTTGTCCCATACACCCACCCAATAATGGTGTTCTAAGACAAATCCTCACCACACATATCCATTTCTTCCATAAACAACATAATGTCACATTATTCACCAACCCAAATTATACATTCACTATAATGCTCAAAACCTTGAAATTGAAACCCCAACTTCACACATGAACATCATCAAAACTGAATACTAGGGTTTAGTATAATTAATTGCAATATTGAACCCACTGTCACATCAATTTTTGTCTCTTCTTTTTCTTCATCTTTCCCAACCCACAACACGGAAAAATCCTATCTTTCTCAACCCACTCAACCCACTCAATTAAAAAAAAATACAAAACAACTAAGATACAAGTTTTAAAACACATGGTACAAGAGAAAATGAGAGAGAGAATGAAGTGGGTTAGTGAAACCAATTAAACAACCCGCTGAAGAGGGAGTGGTACCGGTGGTAACTCTATTGCTAATTACGATTTTACTTTGATTGTTTTGTATTTTTTTTTAATTGAATGGGTTGAGTGGGTTGAAAAAGATAGGGTTTCCATGTGTTGTGGGTTGGGAAAGATGAAGAAAAATGAAAGAGAAAAACTGATGTGGCAGTGGGTTCAGTGGGTTGGGAGGGAATGACTCCCTCCTCCCTTAAAGACCTTCACAACCATCTTTTAATCATTGTTTGCTATTACTTATACGTAATAATTGCAATTTGTTGCTCATGAGTGAAGCAGGGAAACTAGGTCTGTTCTGGTGGATGATAAGAAATTACAAATCATTAGAGAAGACTATTATATTATATTTCTAATTTAAAGAGTACAATTTAGTTCCTTATAAATAACAATGGAAATCCGTAGTTAACAAGGGACGCAGGATTGAAGCAAAACTGGAATCTTCGTAGTGGAGATAGGCTAACACAAATTATGAGAGAAGATTATAATGCTTTTGAATAATTTTGAAGAATACAACCAAGTCATTTATTAAGGATCCTGCTAAACATGGTAGCCTCTAAAATGTTATATTACAATTCTGTAGAAATATGGTAGAGATGATGAAGAATTTCTGAATACTTTATTCACCAGAAACAGGGTACATATATAAGATGGAAACCAGAAAAAGGAAACCATAAAATCAGGGAAAAGATACGTGCTAATCCTATCTAAGTAAGGAAGAAATAAATACACAATAATTTCCTTAAATCTATTCTAAAATACAGCTGTTGACAGAAAATGATATCACAAAATATTTACACGTCAATAAATTCCTTTCTTGTTTTTGGTACAAGGCTATGATGATCTAACTGTGTCATTATGATGTTGGTGCACTTGCTACATTTGAATTTACAGAAATAAAACATCAGTCTTTCAAACTAAAGTTTTATGCTTTTGATTATCTATAAGGATCAGTGGCGACTGCTAAAATAAGCAGTAGCTTACAATGTTTAATTGTTGATGATTAAATCACTGCCTTATTCTTTCCAGAAAAAGAAGTTGTCGGATATGTTGGGCCCACACTGGAGCAAGGAAGAGCTGGACCATTTTTATGAAGCTTATCGTAAGCATGGGAGAGACTGGAGAAAGGTCACTTAATTTTCATGACTCTATAGGGCATAGCATAGCGACTTATTGGCAATAAATTTACACATTTATATTTCTTTAGTGTTAGCTTTTAATCAACAGGACATAACATATAAGTATATAACTTTTACACTTTGTTGATTAATCAGAAACCTGTTATTGACATCTAATGTTCAAATACCATATGCATTTTTAGGTGGCTTCAGCTCTCCGAAACCGCTCTGTGGAAATGGTGGAGGCTGTTTATTCTCTAAATAAGGTAATCATGAAATCTAATGTAGTTTGTTATCTGACCTTTTCAATTCATGTTGTCCTCCCTTTATAATATCCAATCCATTTGTTAAATTGGTAATTAATGTACTTGTGGCACTTTCAGGCATATTTATCTCTTCCAGAGGGAACAGCCTCTGTTGCAGGGTTTATTGCAATGATGACTGATTATTATAGCAACATGGTGAGATTTTAATCTTTATCTATTGTTGTGCATCTGTAGGTGCACATATTTGCTTTTTCCTGCAAGTACATCAAGCCTCTATCTTTTGTTTACTGTTTTTATTGAATACAAGTTTCAGCAAACCAACGAATCATGAAAAATCAATAAATTAAAAGCAAAAAGATAAAAAAGAAGCAGCCATTTTATTTAATATTTTGCTGTATTGCTCACTAAATCATTAACATGAGATGCGGGTGTGTATTTTATGATTTTTATCTAACCTGCCATCTAAGGGGCTGCTTCTTTTTCTTCCCATTAAGCACTGTATCGGTAAAGTGGATGTCTATTTGGATATAGTGCTGTATAGATAAGGTCTTTATCTTTTCTAGACTGAATAAACCATCTTAACGAGACTAAATGACCATTTTACCCTTGTTCATCCATTTTAACGAGAGAGGAGTTGGGTGGAAAAAAAGGAAGGGCAAATGGGTAAATGGTTGGTGTCTCAATACTTTAAGCCAGTTTTTTTTTTTTGGCTTAACCCATTTAGTCAATCTGTTCATATTTAGTGCTTAACCCGTTAAGCTCATCAAGTGGTTTTGTTTTGAATTTTGATTTTTCAGGAAGATAGAGATAGTGAACAAGAAAAAAATGATGGTGTGGGAACATCCCGGAAGCCACAAAAACGCTTGCAGCGCAAAGTTCCTGAGACCATACCTAAAGGCTCTGTTGACCGTATTCATTTGCATCCAGGGGCAGTTTTGTCAGATTATGGTTGCATGTCTTTAACAAAGAAGAAGCGCTCTGGTGGTATGTGATTGTTGTTTTAACTTTTAATCATTTTGACAGGTGTAAATTGTGAAATTGTTTCTTTTTAAATTTTTTAGGAAGCAGACCTCGTGTTGTTGGAAAAAGGACACCTCGTTTCCCTGTCTCACATTCTCACGAGTATGTCAAGGGCGAAAAGTCTTTTTTGCCAACAAGGAAAGGGATAATAAAACCCAAGGCAGATGATGATGAAGATGTTGCTCATAGTATAGCAATGGCATTGGCAGAAGCTTCAAAGAAAGGTAGTTCTCCAAATAGAAGAGCTTCCAGTCTAATGTCATCACCTTCTCAGAGTGCTGAAAGAATGGTATGTGTGATTTATATAATATTTTTTTAAATAACATCTAGAAAGATGAAACTTGAGAGACTGATTTACCTTTTCTTTTGGACACAGTATGATGAGTCAGATGTGGGTAGTGGTTATGGTGAGGATATAGAAGGTAGCATGGAAGCTTGTAATACAGATTTTCCAAGGGATAAGAGTAAAGAAAGAATAAATGCTGGTTATGTGTTACATGATCGAAAAGGATCACAAGGGAAAAAAGTACGAGTTGATAAAAAAGAAAACAAACATTTAGATTATATACGGGAAGCTTGTAGTGGCACAGAAGGGCATAATTTAAGTACACTAAGAAGAAATTTTGAACTTTCTGATGCAAAACCTTCAAAGTCTTCTCAAGGTTCCAAGAAAAGAAGTAAAGGAGCTCATACTGGCAGAGGTATTGTGTTTCCTAATTTCTAGTATATGAGTTTCAATTAATTTAACGGTTTTTATCTAGTGTGGTGAATCATAGTACTTTATATCTACCTTACATGTTCATTTTGAAATGATAAGAGATTTTTCTATTGATTTGACAATTTATAGTGATTAATTTTGTACTTACTGTTGATTCCTTTTCCTGCAGATGAAAATTCTGCCTTTGATGCACTGGAAACTTTGGCAAATCTGTCTTTGATGATTTTACCCGAGGCAAATGGAAATGGTAAGATATATTAGTCGACATAGCTTAGGTGTTATTTCTTTTTGACTTAATGGATAGAAAAGTTGATACATATACATAGATAGATAGATAATGTTGTTTCTTTTTTACCTAATACAACCAGAATGACTTATTGGTTTACGTGATAAGTTTGCCACTTTACGTATTAAGACACCCC